TCTCTCTCTCTCTCTCTCTCTCTCTCTGCAAATGCAGAAGAATTGTTTTATGCGAACCCGCGCGTTCGTCCATCTCCCCTCATTGAAATGCATCCGGTGGTACCCCTCACCACTTCCTGGATGCTGCGTGGGATTTTTGTTTCCCCAAAGTACCAGCGTGCACCGGCACTGGGTTTCCTCTTACATCGTGGAATCTCTCATTTAGAATCTTAATTAAAAACAAACAATAGAAACAATCTTTATACAAGTCTTAATCCATACAAATAGCAATATAATTTTAATTATAATTTCTTTAACAATAATTATTAATCATATTAATTCTTAAAAAACAATCTGTACAACAATAGATATTTTCCGCTACATTTAATCGTTAATCGATGCCACATCGTACAAGAAAAGAATAACAGTCTCACAGGGTTCACGTTCAAAATACTCGCGCCACATTATGGCGGCGTGAGACCAAGCCGACGCACGCGCGCGCGCGCACGCACACGCACGCATACCAACATTGGCGATTGGACGCCGCGTGGCAAGCTCTTTCTCCAATTGGACTCCTGGGATCGTTTATCTACGCTTCGCTCGCCGTGAGTTGCGCCGCCGAACCACGCCGAGCCACGCCGAATGTCGGCGCGAACGCGCGGAGCCGTTTCCCGTAGATGTCCCCTCGCGTGCCGCGCGCGAGACGAGCACAACGGAGTAAATTGACAATTATCAATGAAAAGTCTCGATTCGTCCAGTTGATTTTGTGTCATCGCACTCGGCGCTGTGACGCGCGCACGATCATCACGGTGCGCTGTGGCTTCGCGCACGGAATCAGACGCAATATCGCGTCGGAATATCGAAAGACGGCTGAAGAATCTTCGCGCAAAAATTTATGAATTAAAACTTTCAAATTTTTTTCCCCCGAATAGATCTTCGTGACTAGGATTGTTCTAGAAAGTCGTTTAGCACTTTCATTATCAAGGAATTAAATTTTGGAACGATCCAAAGTTGCATTTCCGATCGTGATCGATTCTAGCGATTTAAGATCGCTTGAAACATTAATTTTATTAGAAAATATTAATTATAATATTTATTAGTAATAAAATCGTTACATTTGACACATTACATAAATATGTCGTGACGTGTCAATGATACGCCCCTTACGGTATATCCTTTCGATAAACGCGGGAACTTTCCCCGCTACGTCGAGCTACGTGAACTCGACAAATTACGATAACGTCTCGTTTCTTTACGAAAAGTCAATATAACATTCGGGTGAATCCATCATGTTATTAAATTAAACATCGATAATCCGAGTGGTATGCAAATAAGTTCATTATGCGTAACACGTCGCGTCATACAAACATGAAAATCCACCGAATATACGCGTGCGATAAGATTGCGTAGCATTGTTTTGGAAAGACTGGACTTATTTATTTCTCATTCCCCCCGCTTCCCATCGTGCCCCTCGCCATTAACCGGAATACGCGCCGCTTTTTTTTCGCGGCTACTCCCAGAGCACGAATGCGTGAAGGACAATTAAAGCGGCGAATTAAGGCCACAATTAAATTAATTTGACATGTCCGACGACATTTTCGATTTCGACCCTAATGTGCGCCCTTTTGGTCACGGAATGAGAAGTGATGTAAAGATGCGTGAGAAAGAGTAAAACGCGAGACGCGATATCTCTATTATGGAATATTTTAAAATTAACGAGATGAATTCACAGGATGGGCGAAAACAAACGAATGTTTTCGAAAGAAAGTCGTAAGAGTTAGACAATTTTTCATCAGCGTTGTAATATCGTATATCTCCCCTCCCCCTCCCCCTCCTTCCCTCAAGTAATCCCATTAAGAATCCGACCCAACGAGTCGCGACTCTTGAAATTTTATCTCTCCCTTCCTCCAGTCTGAAACCTGGAATATTGGAGCACGAGCAGAGATCTCGCGATTGGCATTCCGTTCGGCGGTGTGCTCTCTCTCTCCCTCCTGCCCCCCCCCTCTTTCTCATAGTAGAGGCCGATAACTGTACAATCTTTCCGCACACACGTTTCGCACACAAGTCCAACCGTGCTCGCAGTCACGTCGAGGGGACTATACGTTGCGAATGGCGGTTATTTCGTTCTTCGCCGCTCGCCGCGTGATTGGCCTCGCGGTGATGGACGCGGCGAGAGGAGGGAGGCCGCCGAGTCGACCCGTGCCGCGACGGAGAATGCCGAATGCCGCGGGAGCTCGCTTGGTCGCAGTAAGAGAGGCACGCGTCAGTCGCTAGAGAGCGCTTTTCGTGACGAGTACGCGTCCTTGCGCAACCCCCGCGAGTCGCACATCACGCGCACGTATCGCCGTGTTCGGGCGTCACGTAACTGCGCAACTCGCGTGTGCCCGCACACACGTCCTTCGAGTCCCCGGTGGGCCACGCGCGTGCCTTGACAGTCGCGCGTTCGTTTGGCGGGAAACTACGAGGCGTGTGTATCCTCTCCGCTTGCTTATTTACGCGGTGTCAAAGGCGATTCCCCTCCCACCCATTCGGCGGATCGGCATATTGCTGCGGGCCGTGTGCAATAGCGGTTTTTCTATGGAATTTTCTCGTGCCGAGACAACGGACTCGCGTCTTATCGCGTCTCGGCTGTGTGTACCAGGGTCTCGCCGTGCGTGAGTGCGGGAGACGCGACGGACGAAGAGACAGAGAGAGAGAGAAAGAGAGAGAGAGGTGGCGAGGGCAAGGGGAGTATCTCGAGAGATCGACTCGCGTCACACGGTGGACCACGAAATTCGCGCGGGATACGTCGTAGCACGCTCCCTCGCCGTCGCACGGATACTCACGCGCAAGTGCGGCCGTGCGGCGTTGCCGGATCGCAGACTCGCCGCTCCCCGCAGGCTACGCCGAAGGAGAGACGTCTTGCGCGCGTGAAGAGTGCGGGGTGAAGAGTGAAATCCCCGTGCGCGGATATCGGTAGTGTGTTGACCGTACGCGCAGTACTTTCGGCGGTCTTCACGGTGGCCTTGGCGGACAGCCCCGCGTAAGTGCAGCGGAAATCGTGCTTTCGCGAGGCGGAGTTTGTTTTCGCCGCCGCCGCCGCCGCCGCCACCGCGCTATCTCTGTCTGGCACATAGTAACCGTGTGCGCTCCCCTCTCCCCGTGTTGCCAAGCGCGGCTGCTGTTTGCCGTGCACGCATCGCCCTATGATCCACGCTTTCCCCGACAGCGAGGGAGCCGATTATCGTCATCCTCATAGTCTATCGCGACGGACGTCATCGACACGCCGAAGTGCGAGCGAATCCAAATGCGAAGCGGTGCTTTGGTCTACGCTCGACGGGAGTAGCAGCAGCAGAAGCGCGGCCATTATTCGAAATTCGGTGGGTCGCGCCACAGATCGCGACGTTGCCACGTTCCCATCTGTGGATAGCCGCGATTATTTCAACGTCCTACGGCTACGGCAACGACGACGGCGACGGCAGCAGCAGCAGCAGCAGCGGGAACGTGATTCCTGGAAGGAGTCATCATCATCATCATCCTCGCGTCACTGCTAGGAGTAGCCATCTCTTATCTCTTTGCGCGTGTCACAACTTTTTGATAGTCCGAAAAGAGTGATCCGGAGAGAAGAGGGAAACAAGGGCGAGAAAAAAAGATAGGGAGAGAGTACGTGATTTCTTTTATCTTACGGTTCGTCGTACTCTCGTGCTCTTGAGTGCGTACTCGTTTCCGCGAGCGGGAAACGGCGCGTTGAGCGTTTGCCGTTGTGGAGCGCGGCGGCGATAGAGCGCGACGAAATATGAGCGCACGAGTGCTGAACCCGGCGATGATGACGGAAATAAGCAGGAACCTAGGCAGCGGCGGTGGCGGTGGCGGTGGCGGACGAGCGGCACCGAGCAAGGCCGCGCTCGCCCGCGTGCGGCGCGATCTCTTCGGCCCGGTGGACCACGCGGCGGCCCGCGCGCTCGCCGAGCGCGAGCTGCGAGCCCAATCGTTGCTCGACGCCGACCGATGGGGCTTCAACTTTCAGCTGGGTCAACCCAAATCTGGATCTAATTCGCGGTACGAGTGGGTACCGGTGACGGAACACGACGTGGTGCCCGAGCCTTACGCCCTGCGCGGCATGCCCTACCTGAGGACCCACGCGCCCGGTACTCCGCGCAAATTGCGTTTCGACGACGCGTCGACGTCACCGACCACCATCACCACCACCATCACCACCACCACCACGACGATGATGACATCGACGTCGTTGACGGCGATGATGAGCACGATGGCGGCGACCACCACGAGGATCGTCGAGCAAATGGAAACCGTCGTTACGCCGACGGCCGAGAGGACCCCGCCGCAGGAGCCGAGAGTGCCCGAGATCGGCGAAGCCACGACGACGCCCAGTCAACTCCTGGACGCGGACACCAAGAGGAAGAGGTGCGCGATAGAGCAGACCACTCCTGTCCTACCCCCCGCCGCGAGGAAGCAGTCCACGATCACCGGTAAGTTTTAGCGTGTTCATCCTTCCGCCGAGTAAACCGACAACGCGAGATATAAACCGCGTTGTTTTCGACGATTGCGCATGTTTTCATTCAACTTCCGACAATATGACGCAGACGTTTACCGTCACACTACGATTCCACTTGGCGCCTCGATTCCGCGACGTTGTGAAGCGCTTTTCGGGAAAGAGAAAAAAAAAAGATATCGCGCTAAATAGCTGATGAAAACTATTAATGACGTTTCGCCTTTGGGCGCGCGCGAGCGGAGGATCATCTCCGTCGATTATATAAAATGCAACCGGGCGATATTTGTTTTCGAAATTTTAGTCCGTGCTCGCGTATGAAATTAACGCGGCTCTGACGTTATCAGCGACGACGATTCGTCTGATTGGCAGCTGCAAATTATCCCGATGAAATCACGCGTGCCGCGGGCGAGAATGCGGCTCGTTCCGCTCGATCGCGCCGCGTATCTTCGTTTTTCACGTCTCTAATCTTCACTTCTAACTCATCGCGCGCGTATCTGCCGCGTGAAAAGAGAGGCTTCGGCTATGATAAAGTTTGTTTACACCTGCATTTATTATGCACAATGGACGCTAACCGCCAGACAAAAGGGAAGAGAATGATTTACGCTGTTCTCTCCAGAGAGTCTGTTATCTGAAAAAAACCTGAAATTGTCAATGAATTTCTTTGAAGTTGCTTTTCCCTAATATTTTGCTTTTACGTTTTAATTAGGAGTTTACGACAAACAAGAGTTAACGATAACAATGAACTCATTCACTCTAAACATCAGAAACATGCTGATTTTACGATTAATATTCATTATTGAAAATAGCGATTTCGTGTTAAATTCACTTTCCTTTAATGAGAAGATGAATAGTTTTAATAGTTTTAATAGTTTTATAAAAATGGAATTTTATCGCTTATGCATTATATAATTTTTTGTTTTTAATTTTTGAAAATAAAATTTGAAAGTTTTGTGCGACGTAAAATGTTTCAGTCTTTACAGCTTCTTTCAAAATTTTTCGAATTTAATTATTGAAGCAAATTGATTCTTAATTTTATTTTATGATTTATAAACTTTTATAAAATATTAACATTTTTGTACAATAGATATATACTTATTTGCAAGATATACTTAAAAATACTATTTATTTTACCTGGAATTTTTAACAAATTACTTTGAAAATCAGGAAATTCTCAAGGAATTTTTTTTTCTGTTTGAGTAAACACTCTGTTGTCGCAATCAATCGCGTTATCAACTTATTCATTTATTTCGATCGATTATTTGTTCGGCTATTTAGAATTGTTATAGAGAGAATTAATCTAGAAATCTCGTGAATTATCCGTGTTAGAAATATAGATGTAATTCTGATTCTCTAATCTTAAGAAGCACTATTAACGGGGACAATGGTAACAGTGTGAAGTTGTGCGAAGGTTATCTTATCGTCGGAAATTTTTATGAGGCAGACTTTTATCCTTGCGGAAAAGCGAGTCGTCACTTCCGGCACGTGTCATATGATTTTGCGTCATATAAATCGCACAATTGCATGCGTGAGTCGCGAAAATGATTTTCTTCCCGAAAGACAACTGACTTTTAACTGGAGTTTATCGCGGTTAATTTGCTCGATGTATTTATGCAGGAAGCACTGCCTAGGTCAATCCAATTCGCTTGCTGGAAGGTCGTCGCAATTCGCGCATAATTACGTCAGCACCTGATAATAACCAATTGCGCTTGCGCTTCGTTGCTCATATATTTCGAAACGTATATTTATCGATGTTAATGTCTGCCGGTCGTTTTTGCATATGAATACAAAAACCGCAAGAACATAAACTTAAGATAGTATATTCGTGACAGAGGATAAAATTAATACAGCGAATCTTGTGAGAGAATATCTGCCATCTATTTCCAAAATATTTTATTCACGTAATTTACAATACATTGCATATCGATTGACAAATCGACGCGAATATCTAATCGAAATGGTTCTTGCGTTTTTTTTTTTTTTCGTAGGTTCAATATTTAGGTCAGTATTCGTATCTCTCCTTTATTAATAAACGTTCTTTTATTTCTGAGATTTTATAGTAAATGTTATGTAAACTAAATGTGCATTTAAAAATGCATTTTTCGATAAAAATGAGGTATGAATACGGAGCTTAGTATCTGGAGCGTGCAATCATTTTTTTTTTCCTGCTTTATGTGTCAATAATAAAACTCGGTTCTGCTGACAAGACGCAAGATGTATTATCGGGAACATTATCGCGTGCCGCGCGATAACGTTGAAAAGTAGCTTTGAGAATATAATAAATAAAAAAAAAAAAAAAACAAACCTTTTTTCATTCACGGATAAACGAAATCGTTCATCTACACCGAGAGACGCGCGAGCGATGGCACAATCAAAATAATGTTAACATTACGCGGGCTGTATCGTATTATTATGGTTATTTACGTCAACAGTGGCGCAAGCCTGATTTTAGAGATAAATGCTACGGACGTGCGAGGCGCCGTAAATTTATGCGGTGCGTATACGGTGCTCGAATACCTTTCACTAGAAATTTCGAAATAAACCTGATAGACCTCGCCTCGCGTTTCTTTACCTTCAAAACAAACGTCTTCCTTCATTATTCGCCGACGGAATCACGGCGCGCGAGGACGCATTTGCGGTAATATTTGCAAGGAAGTTACTTGAAACGGTAACCGTAACTAATCACAATTGCATACACGATCCATCCGTACACGTGTTATCACTATCGCGCGCCAAATTATCGTTTTGCTGACAGTACTTTATACATTCACGCGATGGGCGATGTGTATCGTGAGCGATTTGCTAATTTTGAGTTTAATCGGCATTCTTTGTCTGGAAATTTGATAACGATTAATTGATCGTGCGAAGATGAAAAGAGATTGAGTCAATACATGGTTTAGTGACACACGACCGAGAGATAAGACTTCATCGATCTCAACGATTTCGCGGAGAAAAAAAAAGGGAAGAACGAGAGAACAGTTGCGAAGCATTGCTCTCAAATTCACACAGGTGAAAACGCTCGCCATCGACCTTTTTTTTCCTTTCATTCTTTAAACATTTATTATTTCTTGAACTTCGATGGCGGTAGATCTTGATGAATCATTGTAAATAATTTACAACTATTTGCAAGTTAAATTAAAATATTGCACAAACAGACAAGATATCTATCAACGTTAGATTAGTATGATAACAAAGTAGTATACATAGTAGGCAATTTTTATACTCATCAATATTGAGTTTGAACGTAGAAAAAGTAGAAGCAAAAAAAAATCAAGTGCTTGAGAGAGCATTGCCTTGCCGTAAAACAATTCACTTCTACCTTAACCTATTTGGGATTTCGGGTATTTCGATGAAATGTTTT